ACCTAGCCCACTGCCTGCATCTGCAAACCATTTTACTGGAACACACTCATGCTTGCTCACTCATTTGTGTGGCTGGGTTTTTTGTTTGTTTTGTTTGCTTTTGTTTTCAGACAGGGTTTCCTCCTGTGTAGCCCTGGTGTACTTGCACCTTTACACACATACACACACACAACACACACACGCCCAAGGCCCTATGATAGAATATCTCAACAAATCCTAACTGGACAGGGGACTAGATGGAGGTGACTGCTGTAGTTAGTAAAGGGGCATCACCCACTGTCACTAGAAAGAGAAGCCTGCTTATGTTTGTAATTTGAACAGTGCTTATACACAGTCAATGTTGAACCATGACTGTGGAATGGTCCCATTTGTGTTTTGTCCTCCTAAAACAGAAAGTGGCTTCATCCCGTGCTGGTGAAGTTATATATGCTGAACTGAATAGTGGTGATGTTAGAGAAAACTTACAAATGTAATAAAGCATTTACTTTATTTTTATTTTACTCCTTACTATTTGAAAGACAAGAGCCAAAAAAATTGAAAATTACTAGAAACGGTAAATACCATTCTTCAGGTATCTGGGTAAGCAATTAAAATCTTTTTTAAAAAGATTTATTTATTTATTATATATGAATACACTGTAGCTGTCTTCAGACACAGCAGAAGAGGGCATCAGATCTCATTACAGATGGTTGTGAGACACCATGTGGTTGCTGGGATTTGAACTCAGGACCTCTGGAAGTGCAGTCAGTGCTCTTAACCACTGAGCCATCTCTCCAGCCCCAAGTATAGAAGTCTTAAGGTTCATCTTTATTTAGCAAACTTTCCTTTCTCTAGTGTATCTTCTATAATCTAAGTACTCAATTTACTAATAAAGGTAAAGTTACTTTGGATAGTAAATAATGTTTCTGTTCAGTTCAATGATATGAGAATATCTATAATAGTATAAAAGATATATTTACATACCTAGAAATCATTTCAACATCACAATATAGTATGGTAAGATCTTTTCACTAAGAATAATTATTAAATTTAAACTTTAAAAGATTTAAAGAAAAATTTAAAAATTTACCTTATCATGTGCATCTGTTTGTGTTTGTGTATAGATCTGAGTATGGTGTATGTACATATAACGTGCTTTAGTCAGGCATGCTGCTCTGTCACTCTCCACCTAGTCTTTTGAGGCAGAGTCTCTCTTTGATCCCGGAGTTTGCATGTTTTGGTTAGGCTGGAGGCCAACAAGCCCTTCATCCTCCTGGTTCAAACAGCTGCAGTGCAGAGGTGCTGAGTTCTCAGACACATACAGGATGTCTGGCTTGTCACTTGGGTGATGTGGTTTGAACTATAACCCTCATGCTTACATAGCAAGTTCTCTTTACGGCTAAGCCATCTTTGCAGCCCCAATTAAAAGACTTTTTAAAAAATACATCTCATAGCATAATTTGACTTAATCCATTCATTATTTTTGTTAGAAATTTATATGTTGGTAAAATAATTTCTTTGAATGCATCACCTACCTTGTTTTTTTCACAGTGATGTTGCTGCTGAGTTTTTCTAGGCGACATTCCCCAGTATCATGGTTAATAATCAAAATGCATTCTTTTAAGTAAGGTCTCTTGGAACCTTTGAAAACTGTGACTGGTGGAGTTGAACCCTGTTTAAGAAGTTATCATCATTACTTGAAATTTATTATAGTGATTCCATTGAGATGGGCTTTGAGTTCTTTTTGAACTGTTTTTTAATCCATGTTACATATCAAGTCACTTATAAATTATTTAAACTTACTACCCTAAAACCAACAAGTGTGGCTTAAAAATAAAAATACAAAGACAGAGGTGGTTTTAAAAGGCTGAGACCAAGCCAGACCTCGCCTCTATTTCTAGCTGCTAGGAGGCAGACTCAGGAAGATCCGAAGTTCAAAGCCTGTCTGGATTACAGAATAAGTACAAAGCCAGTAAGGAAACTTAGTAGGAGCCTATCTCAATATAAACATTAAAAAATAGGACTATGGGTTCAGTTCAGTGGTACAGCACTTGCCTAGCATGTATGAAACTTTAGATCCAAGTACACATGTACATGAACACACACACACACACACACACACACACACACACACACACAAGCTGAGATCCAAACCTGCTATCACTGAAGAAAGGAAAAGTATCACTGAAGAAAGGAAAAGTAATTACCCTGAAATAGTTAATTTGTTGTACTTTTACTAGGCATATATTTACAGGGAAGGAAATATTCTTATTTTGAGATGATTAAGAAAACATCAATAAAGACCAAATCTTATTAATTCTCACGTGATAACAACAGATACTTAATTGAAAATTGAAAAGTTCTTTCTTAGCAATGCATAAATACTGATTCAAGAAATGAGTTAAACTTTAGGATTTTTCTTTAAAATGTACCAGAAGGGAGTGGTAAGAGAATAATTACTCAGTAACAGTTAAGTTTTCTATTATGTCATTCTTAACAAAAGGATAAAGAGAGAATGAGGAGATGGCTCATTTAGTAAATGTTTGCCACAGAAGCATGAGGACCTGAGTTCAATTCCTAGCACCCAAACACAGTGGTGCATACTCACAGTCTTAGCACTGGAGACAAGACAGGCAGGTCTCCAGACTTTGCTGGCCATCTATCCTCAACTAATCTGTTTTCTAAAATATAAGGTGAATGGCTCCAAGAAAATGAAATGTGAAGATGCCTTCTGGTGTGTGCATTGCGCGCGTGTGCGTGTGCACGTACACACATACACACAGAATTAAAGAAACTCAGCCCCACTACTATTATTCTTCAAATTTCCTTATTTTTGTCACTGCCACCTCCAAACATGAAGAAATTTTATATTATCATTCTCTTAGTTTCACATGTATAATTCCTAAACATAGTTCACCTGTTTTTGAATTTACTAAGTGTATTCACATTTTAAAACACTTTTATACTAATTTTTATCAAGCACAGTAGAACAATTAGTTAGGTTAGAAAGGGTGACCTAAAGAAAGTTAAATGCACATCATATTAAATGTGTTAATAATTATTAGAGATCTATCAGATATCTACTAAAACCAATGTGAGATAAATGTGGTGATTGAGAACAGCACAAACAGGAAGTTGATTAGGGACTTGTGATAGGTGTGGACTGGAAACAATGAACAAGAAAGGAAGGAAGGAATGCTGGGGATTAGTTCTAATGCTTTGTCTTAATTTGGCTCCAAAAATCACGTGGGAATCTATGTATCCAGATACTGAGGGTCCCTGTCCCAAAGGATTTGATTGATCAATAAAGAGTCAATGGCCAATGGCTGGGCAGGGGCAGGGCAGGGGAACAGAAGCAGGACTTTTAGGATTTCCCCGGACAAGAAACACAGAGGAGAAAAGAGGGGAATACATCACAAGAGGGTCAAAGGATGGACCCTGAAGGAGCAGGAGAGTAAGAAGGCCAAAATGTAGGTACAAAGGGAATGCGGCCCTATGGGGGATGGGGGACTGCCCAGAAGGAAACAGAGTGGCAACTCAGGAATACCAGAAAGGAGTGTGTGCTGGCCATGGGGAGGTTTGGAAATGCCCAGCCATTGAGCAAGTTTGACATATCAAAATATGAAGGTTGCGTGTGTGCATGTGTGTTTTCATTCATGAATCCAGAGCTCTTGGGCAGGTGCAGAGCCTCATGCACACCCACCAGGAGTGGCATTTAAAGCCCACACCCACAGTGACACACCTACTCCAACAAGGCCACACATCTTCTAATAGTATCACTTCCTGGGTCAAGCATATACAAACCATCACAAACCCCATGTACAGGTTTATAGTATGTAACTCTTATCCTGAGTACATGAAGTTTGATTTGTCTATTAGCATAATTAGTAACAAAATTGGAAAGAGAACAGAGATATGGTAGTGATACCTGACACTGGGCATGTCCCATCCCTAGGCCTGTCTGTGAACAACCACAGTTCCAAGAAAAAACACGCAGTCTGCTTCTTTTGGACCTCACTTTCAGCCAATAGCAGCTACGACTTATAGTAGCTTTGGATCACAAGTTCACTATAGGAAGCAGTTCACAGCATCATAAGCCTTGGTCCTAATCAAGAACTATGCTGGTGAAGCATAAGCTCATAGCTGACTTGGTTGGATTGGTATTCACAGGTATCACATAGAAACCCAGGTTCAGTCTATCCACAGTGAGTAGAGTCAGGCAGAATCTTGTGTCCAATGACAGTTTACTGTATACAAGCCAATCATGCCTGCCCTAGACCCAGAAATATATTTGTAGTAACATATAAATCTTTCTTATACTCTGCTATTTCTTTCTGAACAGAAAACCAACAGGGTATTTAATATAAATCTGGGCTAAGATTGCCTTTCAGTGTTGAAATAACACAACTCACCTACAATCAACTTCTGGAAAAATCTGGACTTGGGCACCATCTAGTGTTGAAACGGTGGGAATGAACCCAGGCTCAGAGAAAAGAGAAAACCTGCTTAGAATTTATGGAGGAGGATGAGGACAGTCAAATTAGGAAGTAAAATAGATAACAGATTGGCTAATGCCTCGATGGTGTCACACACTATACACATCACCAACTGTCATGAAATCATGTATATTTAATAACCCAAAATAAAGTGCTGGAAACTGACTAGGAAAGAATCAGTACAAGGGAGTCCTCAGACAAGGAATTTAAAGCGACTGTTTTAAAGACACTGAACAATCTCACAATCTCAATGGAGACACAAAGAAATGGCTTAACAGTCTAACAGAAAAATTTAAAAGACAAGAGAACTACTTTTGAAAATAGCAATTCTCAAGCTGAAATTCACTCAGGAAAATTTGAAACTGCTATACAGGATGTAACGATAACAGGATAAATTAAACAGAAGAAATAATTAGTATGCTTGAAAACATCTACTTGAAAATATACAGTGATTGGCTAAAAGCAAAATGTGAAACACTGATAAAAGATATTGGAGAGGACAAAGAAAGCAGAGAGAACCCATACCCATAGATTTTGAAAATGAACATCATTAAATGCCACACTACACAAAGTTTCATAATAAAAATATCAGCATTCTATATTACTCAACATTGCATAATAAGTCAGCACTACTTTAATCAGTGATCAACAGAACTCGTTGCTTTTGCAGAGGACCTATGTTTGGTTCCCAGCACCCACATGGTGGCTCATAACCATTGGCACCTCCTGTTCCAAAGAATCTAACACCTTCCTCTGACCCCACCAGCACCAGTCACACATATGATGTAAGTACATCTATGCAGGCAAAACATTCATATACATGAGATAAATAAATAAATCTAAAAAATTAAAGAAACTATACAGTTGAATAAGAAAAGAACGTTTCAAGAATAACAAAAGAAAGGTTTATGGAATTTTAGTATGGTGCTTTAAAAAAGCAAACATTTGGATTCTTACAGCTTAGGAAGGAACTGAGAATGCCAAAGTGATAGAAAGCTTATTCAAATTAATAACATGAAGCTTAACAAACTTATAGATGGATACAAAACTCCAGGTGCAGGAATGTGAGCAGTACCAGTCAAATTGAACACAATCAAATCTACCTCATGATATTTTACTGCCAAAGTAAAAGGCAATAAAGCTGTCATAGGAAGAAGATAGAGAACATTCTGAAGGCTGAAAGAGAAAAGAAACTGCTAACACATAAAGATGCCCACTTAGTGTGATAGCAAGTTTCTTAGTAATCTTTTCAGTACTGAAAGCTGTCAGCCTCCTGACTGTTACTGCACAGATCAATGCAGTCCTGTAGACATGCAGAAGGGTTATAGTCCCCAAAACTGAGAGAGCAGAAAGACCTAAAGCAATCAATCTACCATTGCATTTTAAGGAAAAAAAATCAAGCCGATCCCATAATTAGTAAGACAAATAAAATAGTAAATATCAAAGGAGAAATCAATGTATACTAAAAAATGTAACCCTAAAAATCAATGAAGCTAATGGGTGTCTCATTGAAAAGAGAGATAAAGAGATAAACTCTTAGCTAGCTTAAGAAAGTGTGGTGGTTTAGAAGGTGTGGCCCTGTTGGAGTAGGTGAGGCCTTGTTGGAGTAGGTATGACACTGGGGGTGTAGGCTTTAAGATCCTCATCCTAGCTCCCCAGAAGCCAGTATTCTGCAAGCAGCCTTCAGATGAAGATGTAGAATTCTCAGCTCCTCCTGCACTATGCCTGCCTGAATGCTGCCATGTTTCTGCCTTGATAATGGAATGAAACTCTGAACCTGTAAGCCAGCCCCATTTAAATGTTGTCCTTCATAAGACTTGCCTTGGTTATGGCGTCTGTTCACAGCTGTAAAACTCTAACTAAGACAGAAAGGGAGAGAGAAGACTCGAGTAGAATCAGAGATTTAAAGAATAATTTTTAAAAAGCCACTACAACAGACACAATGGAAATGTAGAGATTATCATAAACTATATGCTAACAACTTTAATCATCTAGAAGAAATGAACAAAGTCTTCAACATAACACATCAAGGCTGAATAAAGAAACCTGAATCAATAAAATCCATGTAATAGGATTGAATTAGTGATAAAAAAAAACTTCACATTTTTTTTTAAAGTCAGAACAAGGATTCACTGCAGAGCAGAATTCTACAAGTTGAAGAACTAATAAAATTCTT